AAAAAATAGAAAGAAAAGAGAATGTTTCCACAAACGTTTGGAAACCTTCTTATATATAAGGCGTCCTGGTGGCACAGGGGGAGAAGTGGTTGGCTGCTAACCAAACGTCAGTGGTTTGAACCCACCGACTCCTCCTGCAGGAGAGAGATGAGGCTGTCTGCTCCCATAAAGAGTTACAACCTAAGAAACCCACAGGGGCAGTTCTACCCTGTCCTATAGGGATGTTATGAGCTGGAATCAACTTGATGACAGAGAGTTTGGCTTGGTTTGGATGAAACAGGGAAGCAACAAAAAGCTCAGGAGGAAAAATTAGATGAGAAGGAACTTCCCCATGAGCATTTTGAAGCTTGCTGTGTATAGACGGCAGTGTGGCATGGTGGTGGCCTTCTCGCCTGCCCTGTAGGAGACATGAGATCAATTCCTGGCCAGTGCAGGCACCACCCATCTGTCAAGTGGAGGCTTATGGGTTACTACAATGTTGGACAGGTTTTGGCAGGACTTCTGGATTGAGATAGTAGGAAGAAAGGCCTGATGATCTACATTAAAAAAAAAAAAACAGCCAATGGAAACCTATGTATCTCAGTGGACAATTGATCAAGAGTACAGTGAGGGCAATATTCCATCCTATAGTTGGGCATGGGGTTGCCAAGAGTTAGAGCCCACCAAGCAAGATCTGCTAACTAGCCCCCACTCTGAGCTCTTGGTCCAGTACCTTGAGCACTGCCGGGTCCATGCCCAGGAAGGCTGGCATCCTTTGCAGGTGGCTGACAGATGTCTTCTCAGTCCTGGGTGGTTCCTCTTCTTCCTCTTCCTCTTCCTCCTCATCTCTCCTGGGGGATTTCTCTTCTGTTACAAAGAAAAGGGAACTGAAGTCACAGAGCTGTTGTTTACTGAGACTCTACTGGGGGCCTGTGACTTGGCACATGTGGTCCCCACAGCAGCCCTGCCCGGACATATCACTGTCCCATTTCACAGGCTCAGACCAGCCTGCTGGCTCCCTGCACACTCCACCTCACTGACTGGGAGCACCCCAAACGGTCCCAGATTACGCAAGAGAAGACTGGGGAACTAAAAATCCAGTTAATCACACAGACCGACTGATGGGTCTGACAGAGATTGGAGGAACCCTTGAGGCTATGCCCTAAGACACGCCCTCCTCACCTGGACCGGAAGCCACTCCCAGTGATCACCTTCCAGCCAAACAACAGATAGCCTCTTCAAATAGATGGTGGTCCTTGAGTGGAGCTTGATCCACAGGACAACCAATTGTACAAGATGGAAGGGACGCTTCCCCAAAAGCAACAATGAGAAGGCAGGAAGGGGAATGAAGTTCCGGTGAAAGGAAATGGGGAGCCCAGGGTGGAAAGGGGAGAGTGCTGACAGTGTGGGGAAAGGCAACTAATGCCATACAACCCACTACGTACAAATCATCAAATGGGAAACAGGTTTGCTCTGCAAACTTTGACCTACAGTACAACTAAAAAGTTTGTTTGTGTTTTTTTTAAATCGTAGAACATTGTTGCCGCTGCGTCCATGGCTCTCCATCATCAACAGATGAAGTCCAATCCCTTGGCAAGCACCATGGTCCTTCATGTCCCCAAGGACTACACCAGCTCAAGCAACACTGGAACACACAGAATGCTCTTTCCATACCTCTGCCTCTTTGGGCTGTTAAAAAGAATGCCCAAAATACCTTTCCCTGGCTAATTCCTATCTGTTCTTTAAGACTCAGTTCAGATTTGTATATGGGATACAGCCAATGTTGTCCTGAGTACAGTCTTGAGTATTTTATTAGAGATTTTTTTTAAAGGTGTGTCATAAATGAATTGATCTTTCAGTCTAAGACCAGCAAACAAACATAAAGTAAGTATGGGGTGATTTCCAGGAAGATAAGATGCCGACACCATCAAAGCCTACTACACTTCCCTCCTTTCCACCCGAAGAGCCCAATTCATGTCATCCTTCAACTTTCCTTTCATCCTAATTTCTGATAATCTCTATGAAGTGAGAAATTACAGTTTCCTATATGATTCTTGTGTCCTAAAACCTTCAGTCAGGAAGTTTCTCCCAGTGTTTAACCTAAGTCCCAGCCACTGTTCCGTGTGATAGCCATGGAGTGGAGAGAGCGTGGGATACCTGTTGAGTCCTTGAACATCCATGTGCTGTCTACCTCCTCCTCCAGAGGGGATCTGCTCTCTGACTCGCTGAGCCTGCTGCGTCGCAGGGAGTGAGAGATGGGGGCCCGGCGACGGCTTCTCTTGCTGAGCTGCACCCGGGTCTTGAGAACACTTGAGTCGAGGACTGAGGTGTGCTTTGGGGACAGCAGAGCAGGAAGATGAAAAACAGCAAAGAGACCATCAACTGAGCGTACCACCCCAGTTATGGCTTCATCCATGAAAGGTGGGCATAGCCTCACTGATACATAAGATAGTATTGTGGGCTGACATTTCCACCATTTTTGTAATGACCTAAACATCCTAAGTTTCTCCATGAAGCATGCCATGTGGGCTGGTTGCAAGGACCCAATGGTCCAGCGAACCAGAGTGCTCACTTGGACACACACTGAGGTGTCCTTGAGTTGTTGGAATCAACTCAACAGCAACTGGTTTGGGAGTCGCTGATGATGTTATTTGTTAAGGTACCTGGCTACTAACTGATAAGTTGGAGGTTCAAAGCTACTCAGAAGCGCCTATGGAAGAAAATATCAGACACTGAAAACCCTGTAAAGCACAGTTCTATTCTGATACACAACATATGGAAGATGATTATGTTATGTGGCATTAAGGGAAGCAAGGACAGTATATTATATTGTGAAAGTTGATTACATTACATTACAGAAAGTGATGCAGTGAGCCAGAGTAGACTCAACTTTGGTTTATGAGGGGGTGCCCCCGCAAAAAAAGAACAAATGAAAAAAGCTCCTCTGAGCAAAGCTTTCATAGCATGCATTTTCCCTGCCAGCTGAGCACTGAGCATCGAGCAACTCGCTCTGAGTTACTGCAGCCAGTGGAATCGCCTGGGAAAGTTCTCTCTGGTCACAGTGAATTTTTTCATGAAAGCCGTTTCACTTGAACCTCGTTTTTGTGATGGCTGATTTCAGAGAACAGCGTGTGGCTATGGAATTTTGTTTCCTGCTCTGGAAAACTGTCAAAGAAACTGATGCTATGTCAGACACAGCTTCCAAGGACAGAGCTATGTGAAAAACTCAAGTGGTTTTTCTTATTTCAAAACAGGTGAAATGTTGATTAATGACAAACCTCATTCTGGGGAAGGCCATCAACTTCCCAAACAGGTGAAAATGTCGACGTATAGTGCATTTGGAGTTTGCTCCACCAGGTCAGAATGTTAATCAAGCTTTTTTCTATTTAGAGGTTCTGAAAAGATTGCATAACAGTGTGTGACAAAAAAGGCCCAATTTGTGGAAGGCGGGGTGCTGGTTTTGCAACCATGACAATGCACCTGCTCATCTCAGTGCGCCAGTTTTAGGCAAAAAAAAAAAAAATTTCAGCATGCCTCTCTTGCCCCACGCACCTTACTTACCTGACCTCACGCCATGCAACTTCTTTTTGTTTCTGCAAATGAAGAGGGAGTTGAAAGGACAGCGATTTGACGTGCAGAAGAGATAAAGGAAAAAAAAATGAGGGAGATGCTGTCAGCCATCCAATCAGATGAGTTTGAAAAATGTTTCCAAGAATGGGACCACAGATTTGGCAAATTTATTAAGTGTAATGGAGAGTACTTTGAAGATGATAAGGTTGTTTTCTTTAAAAAAAAAAAAAGCTTTGGGGGTGGTGGATTCAGGGTTTTTTGGGTACCTCAATATATTCACAAAGGAGTTCTCAGGCTCAGAGGCTATCACCCTATACCCTTCCTATACCCAGGATCGTCTAGGACACAGATGGAAGGTGGAGGAACCGGACTGCTATGTCACACCATCCACTCTTTAGTTACCCTAGAGGGCACTCGAGATGAGCAAAGGGGGGGGCAGTGATGTTTTCAAAGATCCCAATGAAAGGCCATCTCTACAAGAGCAGCCATACACCCAGCACGGAGATGGGGCAACAATCCTGGGGCCCTAAATGAAATCCCTGTGATGGTTCGCTTGTATGTTAACATGGGCAGAATGTGGTTCCCAGTAGTTTGGCCAAATACTGGATGAGCCGCTGTTCCATCATGTCATGTCCTCCCATAATGTAAGGTAATGTGTTGTGTGATGTGATTACCTTCCATAAGGTAATGTAAGGTAATACGATATCATTACTTTCTGTAATATAATGTAAACATAATAGAACACAATGTGAGGTAATACACTGGATGTAATGTAATGTCCTTTCATTTTGTAATGTAATATAATTATATTCCATAATATAATGTAATATAATCACCTTTCTGTAATGTAATATAATATAACATAATCACTTTCTATAATGTAATACAAACATATTATATATATAATATGATGAAAATAAAGTGATGTAATGTACTGAATATGATGTAATAGAATGTAATGTGATGGAATGGAATGGGATCACTTTCCATAATGCAGTATAATAAAATATAGCATAATACAATCATCTTCCGTAATGTAATGCATGATACTTCCCATGATGAATGCCATGTAATATAATGTAATCACCTTCCATGATGTAAGCTAACAGAGTCACCAATATTTACAAGAAAAAGTCTAGCTTCTGCTCCAACTTACATCAATAAAAGAGAAATCATCTACTCTCTGGGGTGGGCAGGTGTCCAGCAGGGATGGCCTCTCCTGCCCATCAGTGGAGTCCAGGTCGGTGCTAGAGTGGTCCACACTGGTACTCTGCTGGCCCCTAGAGCCATCATTTAGGTCCCTGGCTGAGGGAGCCTCTGTCTGGGATGACAAGGAGGACAAGTGGCTGCTGGGTGGCTGCTTCCATGTGGATGTAGCACTGCTGTCTGGAGATGGGGACTCAGGAGCCAAGCTGCAGAAAGGGGAGGAAAGGGGACATGTCTGAGGAACCTGCTCCGGAGAAAGGGGTTTTAGGGTCTAGAAAGCATGGTCTGGGTGGGTGCTGTCCAGTCCAGGGAACAGCAAGGAGTCCGTCTCAGCCTGTTCAAAAAACCTCGATTTGTGCTGTCCAACTAGAGAACCCCCAACACTCCACTCTCAGTTCTCACTAGCCACTCCAAGGCTATTGTGCCTTTATGGAGTGGCTAGTGAGAACTGAGAGTGGAGCCATGAATGTAACAATACACACTGGGTTTCCAAAGAGGATGGGAATAATTGCATCAACAGCGTTCCTATCGATCTATATCAACTGCATATGGAGATCATACTTCACATCCTGGAGTTCAATGGAACACAGTGTGAACACGCATTGCAATTGTTTATCTTCCTTTCAACAAGGCTACTGATGGTATTGCCTGCCACTGAGTCAACCTCAGAACAATGGTAAGCCTGTGCACAATGGAATGAAATGCTGCCCGGTTCTGTGTCACCCCCATGATCGGTGGTAGACTTATGATCAGTTAGATCTGACCATTGTGATCCGTAGGGTTGGCATTGACTATCATAGACATAGATCACCAGGCCTTCCTTCCTAGTCTCTCAGTCTGGAAGCTCTGCTGAGACCTGCTAGGCATGCCATGATGGATTTAATGCTGACTTGTAGCGCCCCCAGAGGACAGGGTAGAACTGCCTCTGTAGGTTTCCAAGGTTAACTCTTTTTTAAAAATTATTTTATTGGGGGCTCTTATAGCTCTTATCACAATCCATCCATCCATTCATCCATTGTGTCAAGCACATCTGTACATATGTTGCCATCATCATTTTCAAAACATTTTCTCTCTACTTCAGCTCTTGGTATCAGTTCATTTTCCTCCTTCACCCACCCGCCCTCCCTCATGAACCCTTGATAATTTATCTTTTTTTTCTTCATATCTTACACCAACCACTGTCTCCCTTCACCCACTTTTCTGCTCTCTGTCGCCCTGGGAGGGGACTATATATCGATCATTGTGATCAGTCCAAGGTTAATTCTTAATGGAAGTAGAGAGCCTCATCATTCACCCTCAGAGCACTTGGCAGTTCTGAACTGCTGACCTTGACCCACTATGTCACCAGGGCTCCTTGTAAATCTTTAGGGGATTGGAAAGCCTCATCCAGTGGTAGAAGTCTTTTCTTCCATATTGGAGACTTGGGTTCGATTCCCAGCCAGTGCACTTCATGCGCAGTCACCACCATCCATCTGTGGAGCCACACATGTTGCTATGGCAGCAAGGTCAGCATAAGCCCACCAGCTGCTCCGTGGCAGAAAGATGCGGCTTTCTATAAATCTTCCCTCGTGGACCTTTTAGATTGCCCAAGTGTCTCACATTTGCAGCTCACGTTGTACAGGGGCTGGTAGACAGCTTCCGAAAGCTGGTGGGAAACTGAACTAAAAATTAATGAATTTTTCCTAGGACTTTTTAAAGCCCCTCATATTTCTGGAAGGGAAATAGTCACCTGTGGAAGAGCGTTGATTGTGGGGAGGGGGGGGTTATCACTCTTTCATTCACTCATTCATCTAATAAAGATGGTCTAAAATGTAAACCCTCCACCCAACTCACAATTAAGACAAAATAAGATTTATCAAACACATACTTTGTGCCAGACTCTGTGCTACAAACCATATAGTTTTAGCTTCACTGAAATCCAATGAGGTCAGATTCCAACTCCAACAACCTTCTTGTGGAGCAGCCTCACAGTTCCTCAGGTAGTAAATCTTTCTCCCTTGTATCAACTGGTGGGTTTGAACCTCCAACTCGCTGTGCCACCAAGGCTCATTTGAGATAGGCTTAAACCCAGCCAACCAAATCCACTACCATCAGGTTGATTCTGACACCCAGTGACCCTCTAGGACAGAGTAGAGTGGCTCCTTAGGGTTTCTGAGGGGCAAAGCTCAATGGGAGAAGTCAGCCTCTTCTTTCTGACCCAGGGCATTGGCCATTTTTAGCCTGGGCAAGAGTGGGACGCACCACGGACACTTCCTTAGGAACAGGGTCAACCCTGAGATGCCTCCAAGCTAACTTTGGAGTAAAACCTTCTACCCAGGCAGAATGACATTCCATTTCAGAATCGGCAATCATGTTTTGTTTTGATAGCTGTGGGATAATTTAATAGGTGCTGAATCTAGCCCAAATGGGCAATACTCCACATAGGCAGCAGATGCCGCCACCGCCCTACAAACAGGAGCACAGATGCTTCCCTAAGTAAGAAAAGAAGTTGCAGGGCCCCCAGAACACAGCAGGAGGCGCTCGTTCATAGGCAGGAATCCCACTCCTCCAGGTCTGGAATTCCCTGTATAACAGCCTGGAAAATAAGACCAGGAGAGAGGAAGTTTGGACCTCCCGAGGGTCTACATTGAAAGAAGTTTGTGGGAAAGTTCAAAACTATCTTTCATTGTTCCTTTCCACAGACTTATTGAAGCTCCTTCATCTAGATAGAAGGAGACCTGGCATCACAGTGGTTATGCACTGGGCTGCGATCCTCATGGTTTGAAACCACCAGCTGATAGGTGAGAGAATGGTGAGGCTCTCTACTCCCTCAAAGACTTACAGTCTAGGAAACCCACAGGGCAATTCTAAGTCACAATCAGTGAGTTGAGTTAGGTTGCTGAAGGTAAGGAAGCTCATTACACACATTTCATAGGTTGGCAAAACAAAAACAAAGCTTTCTGTGGAGCGAATGTTTTCTCTTTCTTTGTCTTGCTGGTGTCCTTCAGTGGACTCTGATTCATGACGAGCCTCCAGGACAGGGTGGAACTGCCCCAGAGGGTGTCCAAGGCTGTCAGTCTTCATAGGAGCCAAAAGACGGGCCTTTTTACTGAGAAGTTACTTGTGGATTCTAACCCTAACCCTTGTAGGGTTAGAACTTGTGGGTTCTAACCTCTAGCACTTAAGCATTCATTGCCCATCAGGGCTCATTCATGAAAAACATTTCACAGGTTAGCTGGCAACCATCAAAAAACAGCTGCCTCAGGCACTATCAGAAATGTCTCTCCCTCCCAGCCCCCTGCCCCCGCAACAAACAAAATGCTGCCTTCCCCTTTTCTGTTTCTCATGGCGCTGTTAGGTGCCACGGAGTCAGCCCAACTCACACCTACTCGATGTACAACGGAACAGACCACCACCTGGTCCCACGCCATCTTCACCGTCACCGCTATGTTGGGCCCATTGCTGCAGCCACTGTGTCAATCCATCTCATTGATGGCCCTTTTGCCATAGACTCCTTTCCAAAGCTCGGTGTCCCATTTTCCTGGCAGCACTGTGGTTTTTCGTGTTGGGTTGCTAACTTCAAGGTCAGAGGTTCAAACCCACTAGCCATTCCTTGGCAAAAAGATAAGGCTGTCTCTGCTGTTGAGATCGACAGCTCTGGAAAACACTGTCAGATTTGACTTGATGGCAGTGGGTTTGTTATACACAGAGTTCCCGAGAACCAAAAGGTTAGGGTAAAGTTCTGTCCGAGGAGGAAAGGCCTGGCTCTGCACTCTGGAAAAAATCAGCCCGTGAAGACCTCGGGAGATGGGCTGCTCCAGTCCATACGGGGTTGCCCCTGGTTTTTATTGCTTATTCTGTAAGCATCAGTCCCTTTCTAGGGAGAAGAGAAGCAAAAGCTGAGCATGGAAGTAATTTACCACGGCCTTTGAGGGAGACACAGGGATTCGATCCCGGACCTCACTGCCTGCCCCTGGATCCTGGTGACACTGATGGCCTTCAGCCCCTGCTAGGCCAGCTTTCTCCCTCAAGATGACTGATGGGTCTGAACTGCCAACCTTTGAATAAAGAGCCAGGCACTTAACCCACTGTGCCACCAGGATTCCTTATTAAAGCCCACCTGCTCCCACTGCCCACTGCCATCTAGTCGATTCTGACTCATAGTAACCCCATAGGACAGAGTTGAAGTGCCCCACTGGGTTTCCATGGACGTCAATCTTGATGGGAAGAGATAGCCTCATCTTTCCTCCTTGGAGTAGCTGGTGGGTTTGAACTGCCAACCTTATGGTTAGTAGCCCAAATTGTACTACTCTACTATGCCACCAAACTAAAAGCCAAACTGAGTCAATTCAGGCTCATAGTGACCCTACAGGACTGAGCAGAACGGCTCCTTTGGGTTTCCCAGGCTAAAGCTTTATGGGAGCAGTCTCATCTTTTACCCTCAGTGGGTTTGAATCATCGACCTTGTGGTTAGCAGGCCACTACACCAACAAAGTTCTTAGCTACTGTGCCACCAAGGTCTAATAATACAGAAATCAGGCTCCAGTGGGCAGCCTGGCCCTGAGCAGACCTCCTCTCACAGAGGAGCCTACAGGCCTTACCTCTCCCCACTCTGGCACTGTTCTGTCCAGGTCCCATATCGAGTATCAGCCTCTTGCACGAGGGTGTCAGTGTCCTTGGCCTCAGGTGGCCGCCGGGAAAAGCACTGCTTCAGCTGGTCCTGCAGGAAGACAAACCAAACCAGAGATAACTATGGGGGTGGGGATGCCCCGCAACACATAGCTCACATAGAAGCAACCCCATTCAAGCTCCCTCTGGCCCCTTATTACCCCTCAGACCCCAAAAATGCCAACTTGTGGCCGTAGAGTTCATTTTGACTCATGCTACAGGGTAGAGTGGCTCTGGTGCATTTTCTGGACTGGAATCTTTATGAAAGCTGATCACCAGGCCTTTCTTCCGTGGTGCTGATCAAAACTTATGCCTCACAAACCCCAGTGTTCCTCATCCAAACCAAAACACCAGACCCCCAGCCGGCGAGTCGATGCCAACTCGAGAGGAGAACTGATCCCTAGGTTTCTGAGGCTGTCTGGCTTTATGGGAGTAGACAGCCTCCTCTTTTTCCCTTTGAGTAGCTGGTAGGTTTGAGCCGCCAACCTCGTGGTGAGCAGCTGACACTTCATCCACTGTGCCATGAGGGCTCCTTATTTGGCACAGAGCAGGTGAATAGAGGTCTCACTCTGCGGGTTTCAATCGGAATTCTAAGGGGATTTGTTTTGTAAAGGGATAGCACTTTGGCCAGCGAGTCTCCTAGTAACCACGTGGACTTTGTGGTCACAGATTATGAACGTCTCAGCTGCCGCAGCAGACCCTGGTCACACTTTATGTCAGCCACGTCTCAGATGCCTCAAGCCCAACCAGCGGGGGGGCTTCTAACACGTCTGCAGTCGTGGCCTTTCCCCATTTACAGAAAGATGCTCTTTGCATTCTGTTTGGTCTCGTGTGCTGTACAAACCCTTGCCGACTCTAGGCAAGCAAATCTTTGTAAGGTCATTTGACAATACACAGGGTGAATGGAAGCTATGCAGGAAAGCTCATCCCGCGTTGGGCTGTTTACCACAAGGTGAGCTGTTCAAAACCACCAGCTTCTCCTCGGGAGAAAGACAAGGCTTTCTAAACCGGTCAAGAGTTACAGTCTCGGAAACCCACAGAGGAAGTTCTATCCTGTTCTATAGGGTCACCATGAGTTGGCATCGACCCAATGGCAGTGAGGGAAAGTGCCCCCAGAAGGTCCAATGGTCTTTCCACTCAGCTGAGAGCTGAAAGGGCCATCCTATTCTACCTGGACATTGGTGCTCCATTGACAATGCCAGTGGGAGGCTTCTGGCCCCCAGCTTGGCTGCACTCCACCAGACATCCCTGTGGGGCACAGGCTGCCAAAATGGGGCACCAGCAGAGACATGCTGTCTCCACTGGGCAACCGTCACCTCCAGTGACAGCGGCACTGCTCACAGCTGGTCAGCAGACAAGAGTCTTCAGTTTCACCAGGGCAGATTCCAGCCAAGTGCCCAGCCAGGGCTTGAGGCTGGGCCAAGAGAACATCCCCAGCAAGGCTGGGAGGCTAAAAGCAGGCATGGCAGCTGCACTGGGTGGGCCACACTTCCTGGCAGCTTCAGGCCTGAGAAACCCAGGCAGCACCTCGGGGCCTGTGCTTTGTGTACTGGAGGTGGATGAAGCGGCAAATGGATAGTAAATAGCCAGGAAAATGTATGGAGTGCCAACTGCTTACCCAGAGCTGAGAACATGTACAGAGTGCCAACTGCAGATGTTTATGGTACCAGCTTGTGGTAGTTAGTTACATAATCTGGCATCAATTTGAGGATTCAGAGTGAAGGGGTGGAGTCTAGCCTGTCAGTCAGGTCACACCCAATGAGGTCTCTGTGTGGGTATGGCCTTCTCCTGAGGATTCTGGGAACTCCTGTCTTCCTCCCTGGAGGTGGGAGACACACCTCTCTCTGCTCACTCTCTGGGAGTCATTGCAGCTGACAAGACACAACTCAGCACTGAGAACACTTACAGAATGCCAGCTGTAAACATTTATGGAGTGCCAACTGCATACCCAGAGCTGAGAACACATACAGAATGCCATGTGTATACCTAGTACTGTAAACACTTAGAGCATGCCAACTGTATGTTCAGCAACCCTAATGAAGTGTCAACCTCACACTGAATAATTATGGAATTCACCTGTGTACTAAGCATTGAGAACACATAGGCTAGCTAGTACTGTGTACACTTACTATGTGTCAACTGTATCCCTAACATCAAGTACACTATGGAATGTCAACTGTATACCCACCATCATGTCAAATCCCTCCTGTAGATCTTCTGAATGAATTTCTAGAAGGCTGCTGTTAGGTACTGTTGAGTCAGTTTTGACTCAGCGTGACCACATGTACAACAGACCAGTCCAGTGTCATCCTCACAAGTCCACTGTTGTAGCCACTGTCTCAATCCCTCTCTCTAAGGGTCTTCCTGTTTTTTGCTGACCTTCTACTTTACCCACCAGGATCCAGGCTAAACCTACTACTCTCAAGTGGACTCTGACTCATAGTGACTCTATAGGGCCGAGCAGAGGTGCTCCTTCGGGTTTCTAAGACAAACTCTTCATGGGAGCAGACAGCCTCGTCTTTCTGGGGTTCAAACTGCTGACCTTCCCGTTATCAGCCAAGGGCTTAATCACTGGGTCACTAGGGCTCCTCTCAACCACAAACATGAAGCATGAGTGAACTGTTGGAAGGAGCATGGCAGATGTACACGTGATGCACAAAGTAACCTCCAAGGTCCATTGTACGCAAAGACCTCAAGCCAACACCTGGGGTTTACAGTGACGCTGTGAGGCAGTAGAACTGCCCGGAGAGCATTCGAGGCAGAAGCTCTTTATGGAAGCAGGCAGCCTCACTTTTGTCCCCAGGACAGGCTGATGGGTTTGAACCGTCGGCCTTAGTGTTAGCAGCCCAATGCTTCATGAACTGCGCCACCAAGGCTCCTTGAGCAAATAAAACGGAATTCCCAACAGCGAGGGCGGGAGGAGCAGAGAGTGTGTGTTCCCCGTTGTGTGTGAGGCACAAGCACAGAAAAGCTGCAAAAGGTTGGTAGGAAAATGGAATGAAAAGATAACAGAATTCGCCCCCACAGACTTTTTGATGTCTAAATCTTTGAAAATAAAATGCAGGGGGAGCTGGGGTACTGTCACAAAGTCTGGTTCTGGGAGGGGACCATGGGCGGGGCAAATCGGGAAGGGCATGCTTTTGTCACATCCTTGTGTAGCCTGTAATATCTGCAGGCAGCAATTAAAAAAGTCAGCCAAGTAAAAGTCATGATTAAAGTGGAACACCTGGCCCCTTGACTTGCTGTTTCTGTTCCCAGCTCTCCGGGCAGAGGGGTGGGGGTGGGGGTGGGAACAAGGGTGTACCCCATGACCCTGGCCTGCTCCCAGCTAGCTCCCCACCTCAAAGGGATTCTTAAAACAGCTGGAGCCAAACTGATCTTCTTTTTTTGAAACATTACACGTCAAGACATCTCTCTGGTGGTTTATTTCAGGCAGGGGCTAAGTTGTCAGGCGGCAGAATTGTTGCTTTGGGATGTAAGTGTGAACCAGGGAGAAAGCATGGCACCCTCCTCCCCCATGGCAGCCCCCAGATGCTTCAGCCCAGGTCTCAGGATCACTCAGGCAGGACCCAGCCACCGTCCCAGGTGTCATCTGTGCAAGGGGACATTTCCAGAGCTCAGTCCCGCTCCCAGCAATTCACCCAGCAGAGAGCAATTCACCCAGGGGCACATGCCCACACAGATACAGAATGCGCACATGCAGAAAGTCACACAGTATGTACACATAAACACACAAATACACCCGCACCGACACATGCATATATACATGAATACACACAGAGAGACACACAATACTCATGCATGGAAACTCACAATATACGCATGCAAACACACAACTACACATACACGTAAATACACCAACACGAACACACACAAGGATATATACACACATGTAGATGATACACACATGTACATATTTACATATACTCCGGCACACAAATGTATAAATACACATCTGTACTCAACAACAACAAACACCTCACTGCCATCAAGTCAATTCTGACTCGTAGCGGCTCTATAGAGCAGGGTAGAACTGCCTCTGTGGGTTTCCGAGGCTGAAACAAAATCTGACGTTTTTTGGGAGTAGACAGCCTCACCTTTCTCCCATAGAGCAGCTGGTGGTTTAGAACTGCTGATCTTGTGATTAGCAGCCCAATGCATAGTCACCGCCGACACACAAATATACATATGCATAAATAGAGACACACAAATATGCAAATATAGATGTGTAAATATATAACACATGCAGACATGCACAAAGACACATAAATATGCATATACAAAGTGAAACTACAAATACTCACAAGCACACATGCACACAAATATACAAGCATAAATATATACACAAGCATATGTGCATGCACAGACACAGAGCGACAGTAACATGTATAAATGCACACAGAGACACAGACGTTTGTTTATAGGTACACAAATACACCCACACATGTAAACAAACACCTACAAAACACAACACAAAGGTCCACAAGCATACATACTCACCGGCATACAAATACAGACATTCACACGCACACAGATGCATCTGCACACATGGCAAACACATACACAGTATGGACATAGCAGACACAAGCTCATGTGCAGAAATGCTGGCTAGCACCCTCTGCCTCCTACCACCACCCCACCCGGCCTCCTGCGCTCACCATGGCAATCCCTCTCTCTCACGCTCTTTCTCTCTCTCTCTCTCTCTCTGTCTCTCTCTCTCTCTCTCTCTCATCCCCTGGGTCAATTTTATCTTATTTTTTAAACTTTGCCTTGTGAATTGGAGATTCACAAATCAGAAGAGGGAGTCCA